CTATGGGCTCTGCATTGGTCTTGATGAGGGCAGAGGATCTGAGGCTGCCAGAGCATAGGGAAGAATAGGCTTCTGGGACTGGTCTTACAACCCAGAGGTGCCTGCAGGAGCAGAGGTTGGGGTAAGTAAATATGCTTTTTGTGGTCCCCTAAACATACGTATGACTTAGTCCCCAAGACCTAAGACCTAGTCCAAAAAAACAAAGTTAAAAAACAGGGGAGCTTGATAAACTGGGTACCAAATATGTACCCTCAGAGATGCCTGCAGAAACAGAGGTTGGGGTAAGTAAATGTGCTTTTCGTGGTCCCCTAAACATACATATGACTTAGTACCCAAGACCTAAATCCTAGTGCTGCCCTTGGTCCTCTAGACCTAAGACCTAGTCCAGAAAAACAAAGTTAAAAAACTGGGGAGCTCGATAAACTGGGTACCAAATATGTACCCTCAGAGGTGCCTGCAGGAGCAGAGGTTGGGGTAAGTAAATACACTTTTCGTGGTCCCCTAAACATACATATGACTTAGTCCCCAAGACCCAAGTCCTAGTGCCCTGGTCCCCTAGACCTAAGAACTAGTCCAGAAAAACAAAGTTAAAAAACGGGAGCTCGATGAACTGGGTACCAAATATGTACCCTCAATCAACTGCCCACTCAATAAAGTAAAAATATATAGAGTGGGGCTCTATGGCAAAGGTACAGCATAAAGGAAAAACAGGCAGATACAGAGCAATCCCCCAAAAGGGGCCATATAACTGAGCCAACTGAGCTAAGACATAGTCCGCTAGTTCCCTAGACCTAGTTACCTAGATATTGAATCTGCAACTGCAGGAGTATAGGGAAGAAAAGATTGCCAAGACCAGTCTTCCAAACTGGAGGAGCCTGCAGGAACGTAGGTTGGGTAAGTAAATGCGTTTTTTGTGGGTAGTTCCCTAGTCCACTAGACCTGTGACTCAGTCCTCTAGACTTAAGGCCTAATTCTCTAGTCCCCTAGACCTAAGACCTAGCCCCCCTGTGCTAGCATCTAGTCCCTTAGTTCCCTAAGCCTAGTTCCCTAGACGTGTAAATATTCTTTTTGTAGTCACCTAGTCCACTCGACCTATGACTTAATCCACTTGATCTATGACTTAGTCCCCAAGATCTAAGATCTAGTCACTTTGTCCTAAGATCTAGTCCCCTAATTCCCTAGGCCTAGTTCCCTAGACCTGTTAATGTGCTTTTTGTGGTACCCTACCCCAGTCCCCTAGATCCAAGACCTAGTCCCCTGGTCCTAGGACCTAGTCCCCTAGTTCCCTAGACCTTGAATCTACAACTGCCAGAGCATAGGAAAGAATAGGCTGATGGGACTTGTCTTCCAACCCAGAGATGCCTACAGGAGCAGAGGATGGGGTAAGTAAATGTGCTTTCTGTTGTCCCCTAGTCCCCTAAATGTATGACTTACTCCCCTAGACCCAAGATCCAGTCCTTGGTCCTAAGACGTATTCCCTTAGTTCCCTAGATTTAGTTCCATACACCTTAAATCTGTGACTGCAGAAGCAAAGGGAAGAATAGGCTGCTAGGAACTGTCTTCCAACTCGGAGGAGCCTGCAGGAGTGGAGGTTGGTAAACATGCTTTTTGTGGTCCCCTAGTCCACTAGACCTATGACTTTGTTCCCTAGATCTAAGACCTAGTCCCCTAGTTCCCTAGACCTAAGACATAGTTCCCTAGACCTAGTCCCCTAGACCTAAGACCTAGTCCCTTGGTCCTAACATCTAGTCCCCTAGTTCCCTAGACCTGTAAAGGTCCGTTTTGTAGTCCCCTACACCACTTGACCTATGACTTATTCCCCCTAGACTTAAGACCTAGTCATCTAGTCCTCTAGACCTTAGAACTAGCCCCCTTGTCCTAATATCTAGTCCCCTACTTTTCTAGGCCTAGTTCTCTAGATTTGTAAATGTGTTATTTGTGGTATCCTACAACTAGATATATGACTTAGTCCCCTAAACCTAAGACCTAGTCTCCTAGACCCTGTAGGAGCAAAGGATGGAGTAAGTAAACATGCTTTCTGTCATCCCATACACCTAAAACTTAGTCCCTAGACCTAGTCCCCTAGACGTACGACCCAGTCCCCTAGAACTAAGACATAGTCCCATAGTCTCAAGATCTAGTCCCCTAGACCTAAGACCTAGTCCCCTAGGCCTTGAATGTGCAACTGCAGAGCATATGGAAGAATAGGCTGATGGGACTGGTCTTCCAACCCAGAGTAGTCTGTAGGAGCAGAGGATGGAGTAAGTAAACATGTTTTTTGTCATTCCATACACCTAAGACTTAGTCCCTAGACCTGGGCGTAAGGCCCAGTCCCTTAGACCTAAGACCTAGACCCCTAGTCTCAAGATCTTGTCCTCTAATTATAAGACCTAGTCCCCTAGACTTAAAACCTAGTCCCCTAGCCATAGGACCTAGTCCCTAAGACTTAAGACGTAGTCCCCTAGACCCAACATGTAGTCCCCTAATCCCAAGATCTAGTCCCCTAGTCATAAGACCTAGTCCCCCTAGACCTATGACTAAGTTCTCAAATGCCTTAGACCTAAGACGTAGTCCCCTAGTTCCCTAGACCTAGTCACCTAGACCTTGAACCCTTGCGGTACTGGAGTGGCCCCACTGCATGAGGAGAATTTTTGAGTTCAGCTTTAAATCTCTCAGCTGCAAAGAGATTGAAGGGCTGGCGTATCCCCATGTTCACTGACCTTAATCAGGTATGCAAATCAGAGGAGCCCACTAGGCGCCTGGCCTTTCAGAAGACTCTCATCAATGGCGGTGACAGGTTTACTTTGTAAGAAAAAAGTCAAAGCGCCACTCGGGGAATTGCCGGGACAACTCAGCAGTTCCACTTCACTTTCCTTTAAAGGGGAACTCTGCCCTTCTTAGAAGCACCAGCCCTCAGGGGCAGCCATGTTTGTCTCTTCCATCTGAAAGGAAAGGATCAAGGTGTCTTTTTATCTGATGTCAGTCTGGAGTCATTTGTGACCGTCATCGGGAGTACATTACACAGCGCGCCGTGAATAATTCATAGTATTATGCAGTAACATTGGCTGTGCATTTAGAATGACATGAACGGAAAATCAATCTCATTAATGAGTAAAGACTTCGTTTTAACCGCCTCCACGCCGGGCGCCGGAATCAAACGATGGCTAGACGGAAATGGCGCATCGTTGTGGGCTCAGCAATGCTCAGGATCCTCGTCTGCTGGTAGCAGGACACTTATGCAGGCCATAGACGGGTTGAAAACCGGCCGTTTTAAAAAAAAAAACAAAAAACAAAAAATCGGTCATTCAATAGGCCGACGTTACCACCAACGGTAAAAAAAAATCGGACGATTTTTGTCCCGTCTATGACCGGCATTTAGTTACTTCTGTCCCTTGCAGAGAGCTCCGCTATTATATTTGACATGAAAAAGTCTTGCGGTTGCAACAATGTATCCATTTGTATCCATTTCAGATCCAGATGTTTTTATTTGGATACAAATAGATACATTGTTGCAACCACAAGACTTTTCATATAAAATATAATAGTGGACTGGAATTCTTCTCCTTCTCCTCCTTCTCCTTCTCCTCCTTCTCCTTCTCCTCCTTCTCCTTCTCCTCCTTCTCCTTCTCCTCCTTCTCCTCCTTCTCCTCCTCCTCCTTCTCCTTCTCCTTCTCCTTTTCCTCCTCCTCCTCCTCATTCTCCTTCTCCTCCTCCTCCTTCTCCTTCTCCTCCTTCTCCTCCTTCTCCTCCTTCTCCTGCTTCTCCTCCTCCTCCTTCTCCTGCTTCTCCTTCTCCTGCTTCTCCTCCTCCTCCTTCTCCTCCTCCTTCTCCTCCTCTTCCTTCTCCTTCTCCTCCTCCTCCTTCTCCTTCTCCTCCTCCTGCTCCTCCTCCTTCTTCTCCTCCTGCTCCTCCTCCTCCTTCTTCTCCTCCTTCTCCTCCTCCTCCTTCTCCTTCTCCTTCTCCTCCTCCTCCTCCTCCTTCTCCTCCTGCTCCTTCTCCTCCTCCTCCTCCTTCTTCTTCTCCTTCTTCCAGGCCATGGCTCATGTGCAGATTTTTTATCGGCAAAAAAAAAGATCGGCTGATTTGCCCATCATTGCTGGGAAAAACGGCCGATCGGCAAAATCGGCCAATTTTTTTCCAACTTTACCGATAAAAAGAATGTGCCAAAACCCGAAAAATGGCCGACCAATTAACCCCCTTAACGATGTGAAAATCGGGCGATTATTTTTTTTTTTTTTTTTTTTTCAGTCGAAAAATTGGCCTATTTTCGACCCGTCTATGGCCTGCATTACCTTTTCACCGACTGTAAGCTCCTGTGCATTGATTTCTGTTTAAGGTACCGCCCACGAGGGGTTAAATTGTGCGCTCACATGCTCGCTATTTCGGACTCCCAAAGCAAGAAAGAAAGGTTTAAAGTGAAACTCTATAAAGTGAAGGCTTTGTCATGGAAAAAATATTTTTTTTGAAGATTCTTCCCTTTTCTGTTCAAAGCCTTTCTCAAATTGACTGCTAAGTGGGAGGGAATTCTAGGCAGCGAATGTATAGAAAAAAAATGGGCATAGAAGTTCGCCATGTGAGAGCACATGTGCATGCATTCTGTGTGAAGGGGGCCAAAAATCGAATGCTATTAGGCCATTTCCTATGCTGGGTCGAGTGTTTTCCATTAACTTAAAATGAAAAATAATGTATTTGGCCATTAGATGGCGCTAAGGATTGTAGGAAATTGGCTATTTTCAGTTTTAAATCAATGGAGAACAATCAACCAGCACAGGAAATAGACTGATAACAATTGTTTGCCCACATTGACACAGAACGAATGTTCATGTGATTTCACTGGGAGAATTACTAGCAGTCTCATGTAATATGTCGCCATTCTTTGACTGTCTCCTGAAGCATGTCCGCAGTCTCTGACCATCTCTTGTATCATGTCTGCATTCTCACCCATCACTTGTATTATGTCTACAGTCTCTGACCATCTCCTGTACCATGTCTACAGTCTCTGGTCATCTCCTGTACTATGTCTACAGTCTCTGGTCATCTCCTGTACTATGTCTGCAGTCTCTGTCTGTCTGCTGTACTATGTCTGCAGTCTCTGACCGTCTCCTGTACTATGTCTGCAGTCTCTGACCATCTCCTGTAGTATGTCTGCAGTCTCTGACCATCTCCTGTACTATGTCTGCAGTCTCTGACCATCTCCTGTATCATGTCTACAGTCTCTGGTCATCTCCTGTACCATGTCTGCAGTCTCTGGTCATCTCCTGTAGCATGTCTGCAGTCTCTGACCGTCTCCTGTACTATGTCTGCAGTCTCTGACCATCTCTTGTACTATGTCTACAGTCTCTGACCATCTCCTGTATCTTGTCTACAGTCTCTGACCATCTCCTGTATCATGTCTACAGTCTCTGACCATCTCCTGTATCATGTCTGCAGTCTCTGACCATCTCCTGTACTATGTCTACAGTCTCTGACCATCTCCTGTATCATGTCTACAGTCTCTGGTCATCTCCTGTACCGTGTCTGCAGTCTCTGACCATCTCCTGTAGTATGTCTGCAGTCTCTGACCATCTCCTGTAGTATGTCTGCAGTCTCTGGTCATCTCCTGTATCATGTCTGCAGTCTCTGACCATCTCCTGTACCATGTCTACAGTCTCTGGTCATCTCCTGTAGCATGTCTGCAGTCTCTGACCATCTCCTGTACTATGTCTGCAGTCTCTGACCATCTCTTGTACCATGTCTACAGTCTCTGACCATCTCCTGTATCATGTCTACAGTCTCTGACCATCTCCTGTACTATATCCGCAGTCTCTGCCCATCTCCTGTATCATGTCTGCAGTCTCTGACCATCTCCTGTACTATGTCTGCAGTCTCTGACCGTCTCCTGTACTATGTCTGCAGTCTCTGACCATCTTCTGTATCATGTCTGCAGTCTCTACAATCTTTGAAAATTAATAGTCACTGAATATTATGTGTGGCCCTTTGGTGATGTCAGGGGCCACACACGAGGCCCCCCATATCCAGCATGTTGACCACCACTGCCTTATGGTCTTTTTTAATCTATATACTGTAATAGTTATACCAAACACAAACAAAATGTAACTTTCTGCCTATGGCGACTTCTATTGGGAAGCTGCTACAATGTATCCTCATCGACCATCAGCAGGCTACTAAACGTAAACCAGTTCCTTCTATATATACATCCTAAAATCAAATAAAAGAGCATCTGATATGATCATGTGACGTAGAATTCATTACCTCGATCAACCTTCTCACTGCAGTTAGATAGCATTCCAGATAGAACGAAGCATCCACGTGGTACAGATGCCACATGCATGCAGAGGTCTCCCAAGGTTTCACCGGCAATCCCGGTTTTCTCTAAGGGGCCCCTTGTTATGTCCTTGTGACTGCATTTCTCCCCATAAAAGTCAAAAGGAATGTAAAAGCAGCTTGAGGCAGCTTTGAAGGTGTTCAACTGCAGGTCAGAAGAAGGTCAACTGCGGGTTATGCAGAGGTCAACAAGATCAGAATAAGGTCAACTGCAGGCTGTGAGAAGGTCAGAAGAAGATCAACTGCAGGTTAAGAAGAGGTCAACAAGATCAGAATAAGGTCAACTGCAGGTTGTTGAGAGGTCAACAGTAGGTCAGAAGAAGGTCAACTGCAGGTTGTGAGAAGGTCAGAAGATCAACTGCAGGTTGAGAAGAAGTCAACCACAGGTCAGAAGAAGGTCAATTTCAGGATATAAAGAGGTCAACAATAGGTCAGAAGAAGGTCAACTGCAGGTTACTGAGAGGTCAGCAATAGGTCAGAAGAAGGTCAACTGCAGGTTATGAGGAGGTCAAAAGCAGGTCCGAAGAAGGTAAACTGCAGGTTATGAGAAGGTCAACAGCAGCTCAGAATAAGGTCAACTGCAGCTTATGAAGAGGTCAACAATAGACAGGAATAAGGTCAACTTTAGGTTGTGAGGAGGTCAAAAGCAGATCAGAAGAAGGCAGGGGCGGACTGACAACTCATGGGGCCCCCCGGGCAATAGGGGATCATAGGGCCCCGTGTCCTTGCCCAGACTCAAAAAAGCCTATGAAAAAGGTACCAGGGGCATCTCATGGGGCCCCCTACTGACCCCGGGCCCTCAAGCAGTGCCTGAGTTTCCAAATGGTCAGTCCGCCCCTGGAAGAAGATCAACCACAGGTTGTGAAGAACTCAATAGCAGGTCAGAAGACAGTCAACTGCAGGTTGTGAAGAGATTACCAGCAGGTCAGAAGAAGGTCAAATGCAGGTTATGAAGAGGTCAACAATAGATCAGAATAAGGTCAACTGCAGGTTGTGAGGTCAGCAACAGGTTAGAATAAGGTCAGCTGCAGGTTGTGAAGAAGTCAACAGCAGGTCAGAAGAAGGTCAACTATAGGTTATGAAGAGGTCAACAATAGACAGGAATAAGGTCAACTTCAGGTTGTGAGGAGGTCTGTCAGGGCTCCCAGTAAGACCAGAGATGCGTAAACTGACACAGGGAAACGCAGGCTCAAATATAAAATGCACAATATCACAAAACCAAACCTCCAACTGATAACGAAATGAACACAGACAAGAGCAGTCAGGGCTGGTGAGGTGGAGTGGTCAGGCAGGCCGGGTCAGGAACCGTCGGGCAGACATGACACAAAGGAGCAGGCAGAAGAGTGGTCAGGAATAGCCGAGGTCAGGACAGGCGGAGTTCATTCAGAATCAGGATCAAAGCAGAGTCAGGATCAGGCAGGAAGCAGACAGGATGCAGGTACAGGGGCTCATGGGAAACATACACCAAGGCACTGACTGCAGGCCTGGCCACTCCTTAAATACACCTCCTGCAATCAGCCTCAGGTGATGACTTGATTGCAGGACTGAGCTTCTGGCTGCTGAGAGCACCAGCTGGCCAGCCCTGGTACTGCAGCCCATACGGCAGGTGAGTCCCACCACCAGTGGTGAGTCCATTCCTAACAAGGTCAAAAGCAGATCAGAAAGTCAACTGCAGGTTGTGAAGAGATTAGCAGCAGGTCAGAAGAAGGTAAGCTGCAGGTTATGAAGAGGTCAACAATAGATCAGAATAAGGTCAACCACAGGTTGTGAGGTCAGCAGCAGATCAGAATAAGGTCAGCTGCCGGTTGTGAGGAGGTCAAAAGCAGATCGGAAGAAGGTAAGCTGCAGGTTGTGAAGAAGTCAACAGCAGGCCAGAAGAAGGTCAACTGCAGATTATGAAAAGGTCAACAATAGACAGGAATAAGGTCAACTTCAGGTTATGAAGAGGTCAACAATAGATCAGAATACGGTCAACTGCAGGTTATGAAGAGGTCAACAATAGATCAGAATACGGTCAACTACAGGTTGTAAGGAGGTCAAAAATAGGTCAAAAGAAGGTAAATTGAAGGTAGAGTCAACAGCAAGTCAGAAGGTCAACTGCAGGTTATGAAGAGGTCAACAATAGACAGGAATAAGGTCAACTTCAGGTTGTGAGGAGGTCAGAAGCAGACCAGAAGAAGGTCAACTGCAGGTTATGAAGAGGTCAAACATAGATCAGAATATGGTCCTGATGAAGTAACCAGAGAGCAAGGCAGGAAACCATGAGATCGAGTATGAACCCTTTTCTTTGCAGGCTTGACTTTGGGTTTTAGAAACGACCTCTTTCTGTAGTTGCTCTTCTATGTAAACAAAGCTGTAATTGAGGTCGCCGGCCCTTTTAATCTTTACCGCGCGGCGCATTTCCAGGGTTTAGCAAGTTGGTTGCGCATCGGGCCTGTGGAGTGGGTCATGTTGGCAAAGCAATTATCACACCGGCACAGACAGTCTCGTTCGTCCCGTGAATATAAAGTCGGCATTGAGGGGAGCTGAACTGTGCCGTTTAGAAGCTCCGCCACTAATGCCTCTTATACAAGACGAGGGCAGCTTATTAAGATCGTTTCCAGCCACCAGCCAAGCCGGGATTAGCAGGCAAATTGGTTATTTCGAGGCCACAGGAATGTAACACGGCAATAGATTGCAAGCTCCGGGGCAGACAATGGCACTTCTTGAAAAGCAGCCTTTGTTCCAGCCCAGGATGCTCTGCAAATTCCCGCCAGCATTGTCCCGGAAACCACACGTGTATTACAGCTCATAAAAGAAACTTTACTCAGTGTAAATGCTTTAATAATCAGGGCCAATCGTCCCCTGTAGGCACAGAATTAAAACACGCCAAGTGTTACGAAAGACACAGCACTTTCTTTTTATTTATTTATAAAAGGGGCAGATTCTTTTTTTTTTAAATCATTTATATAATTTTCGTTAACTATTTTCATGATCGAGGGTCCCAGAGAAACGCCCAGACCGAATTTCACACTGTCAGTACGTGTCAGTTGGCAATAACTCACCGTCATTAAAATGACACTAAAATGATGATTCTGGTACAAAGCAAAGTTATTCACTAGTGAAACAAAGGCCTTTTTTTTTTTTTTTTTTCAGCTGTGCTCTTTTTTTTTTATGCGACACTGAAAAAGATAGGAAACAAAATTAAAATAGAACCAAAAAAAAAAGTTTAAATATCATCGGTCCAACAAGCAATTTTTTATTTAATATATATATATTTAATTTTTCTAATTTTTTAATATTTGTATTATTTGCGCTGTGTCATTTTATGAGTATATCTTGATGATCGGTCAATTTTTGAACAGCAGCATTTATATTAAGTCCAACAAGCAATTTTTTATTTAATTTAATATATATATATTTAATTTTTCACATTTTTTATTATTTGTAATATTTGCGCTGTGTCATTTTATGAGTATATCTTGAAGTTTAGTCAATTTTTGAACAGCAGCATTTATTTTGATTTATTGTTTATTCCTTTGGTGCAAGGTTTCTAAATTTTACAACTTTGACATGTGTTAGTAAAACCGTACATATATCATCACAACTCATAAGGTGACACAGCGCAAATAATCCAAATAATAAAAAATTGTAAAAATTAAAAAACAAAAATATATATATAAAACAGTCCAACAAGCAATTTTTAATTGTATATATATATATATATATATATATATTAAATTAAATAAAAGTTTCTAATATATTTTATGTTATTTATGTGTGTATATATATATATATAAAAAATATATTATATATATATATATATATATATATATATATATATAAAATATATTTTATATATATATATATATATATATATATATATATATATAAGATATATATAAGATATATATATATACAGTATATATAACAATAAAAAATTCTAATATATATTTAATTTTGCACATTTTTTGTTATTTGTAACATTTGCGCTGTGTCATTTTCTGAGTATATTTTGATGTTCAGTCAATTTTTGAACAGCAGCATTTATTTTGATTCATTGTTTATTCCTTTGGTGCAAGGTTTCTAAATTTTACAACTTTGACATGTGTTAGTAAAACCGTACATATATCATCACAACTCATAAGGTGACACAGCGCAAATAATCCAAATAATAAAAAATTGTAAAAATTAAAAAACAAAAAATATATATATAAAACAGTCCAACGAACAATTTTTAATTGTATATATATATATATATATTAAATTAAATAAAAGTTTCTAATATATTTTATGTTATTTATGTGTATATATATATATATATATATATATATATATATATATATATATATATATATATATATATATATAAAATATATTTTATATATATATATATATATATATATATATATATATAAGATATATATATATATATATATATAAGTTATATATATATATATATATATATATATATATATATATATAAAATATATTTTATATATATATATATATATATATAAGATATATATAAGATATATATATACAGTATATATAACAATAAAAAATTCTAATATATATTTAATTTTGCACATTTTTTGTTA